CTTCGTAGCTTAAGTCCTTCGCTTATTTCCAACTAGGTAGCAAAGAAGAAGAAGAAGGTGGAAAAAGGAAAGAAGGAGAGCGCAACAGCAGGTCCGACACGACAGCCCTTCGATAGGGAACGCGATCTTCTTGTCTCGCGCGTGGACCCACTTAAACGTCGAGCTATCATCGAACGCTCCAAGCAGTTGAGCTCTAAGTTCGCTCATGGAGGACAGAAGTTCCTCTGAGTTGTCACGTTTTGCTCTCACCCTCCTCCTCTCGACCCATATTTTCGTCTGTATATATTATGCAGTACTCTATTTTCCGTCCTCTTTTAATTGTGCTCCATGCCGTCAATGTGCAAGTCCTTGTAAGGCAATCACTGTTAGATTTGTGTGCAGGTAACTCGTTCCTATGAAAACTGGCAAAATTAGCCCAGCAAACATGAGGGAGAACCGCCACCTTGTTTCTTTCGAGCGTAACCAATACTGTTGATGTCAGGTTACGTCGAAGTAGGGTTGGGGAATTCCAGTGATCTCCAACAATTCACTGCTTCCTATGGTATTCTACTCCTGAGTTAAGTGAGTCCTCTCTCTCCCCACCCTGAATACTTTACTTGTTCTTACTCATCCTTGCAAGCCTCAAGCAAATTAGGAGGGTCTTCGTGTAATTTCCACTTTGATTTTGGAGTTGCCAGATCATTAATCAATCACAAACTCTTATGAGTCTATAATATTGTCATTGGTTAGCAGAAGACATGGGAAAGAGGAAAAACATTGTCAAACCGACAAGGTAACCTGGCTAGTGAGGTTTCTCATGTGCCTGGAGGTAATTTAAAATATAGTTATTGTACTTAATTCCCTTTGTATCCTTAAAGTCGTCCTGAATTTCATAGAGCGTACTTCATCCATCCATCTGTCGAGTCTTGAACATGTTTCATTGTCAAAAGAAGGCGGCAGTAATACTCGCAGTGCACGTGAACAGTCTGTACAACCTCTGCCATCGACATTATGAGGAACGAACTTTGGGAATGATTGGTTGAGAACACGACTACACTCATATGAGAAGGCGTTAGGCTGGGAGGTGCAAGGCGCATGATAGACATTGACGGAACTGAACAGACCCTATCCGATCTGATGGGAGCGGTGTAGCATCACGTCTACGAGGTCATTAAAGACGAGGATGTAGCTATAAAGGTCGGGAACCTAGGGCTGTGGATCAACTGCGAGAAGGCAAACTCGGTGAGAAGATGGCTTCTGTGCCCCGCGTAAATCATCTGTTCTCACTACTTACTTAGTAATTAAAATGAATGGGAACGAAAGTAGCCCTCACATTGCTAATCGGGGACAATGAATGCCAAATAGTCCCAATGGACTGCAGTGCCACTTTTCGACAACGTTTTAAAATTGGAATGATCAATCGGTGTTTGAGGCATTGTATGGTATATCCAGACAACATTATGGTCCTTGGAGGGCCCATTCGAAAGCATATTGTCGACTAGAGATATGTGTTAGAGCATCTATATGGTGCAGATCTGGCTCCAGAATGAGGAAACTGCCACTTTTTGGCTTGCAGAGCTTGTGAGAACCTGGCAAGTGAACATTCGTGGGGGAACCAAAGCTAATGTTGCGCTCTGTTCAACTCCAGCATAATTATAATACTTCCTTGAAAGGGAAAGTATATTTTAGG